ATTTTTCCATACAAAGTATGTTCGACAATTTTCTTTTATAAGGAAGACACTGCCAGCAAAAAAAATCTAAAACTTAGCAGGATTTTTAGCGGTTTCAAACTTGCACTTCATTACACTAGAATTTAATGGGCTGCAAAACTAGATACCTAACTAGAATTTAAAAAAACAAAGTTTAAAATTTTGTTGAAAGTTTGCATAATTTGTTTACATAGTTTGAAATGTTAATTTACATGGTGTTTTTTCTACACCAGCTAGACTTAAATAATAAACACTAAATAAAAAATAAATAAAAATAGTCAAAACTGGTCAAAATATCGCCCTCCTATTATTTCGTAGACAAGTATATAGTTACATATCGTCGCCAGGACAAAAGATTGACGTGTGTTACTTTCGGCAGGTTTTGAGAAATCGCGATTGAAGTTTGGAATGCAATTTCTCAAAAACGGAGAATTCTACGAAATTCTTAAATTATTTTATTTTTATTGCTTATTTTTAATAATTTTTGAGTCTATGAAGGAGCACTAAATTAACGAACTTTTTACCCAATATCTCGGAAACTAAAGGAGATATCAAAAAACTCATAACACTAATCGAAAAATCTTATTTTAAAACATACATATAACATGCGACGATATGTACTTGCGTATGTATGTTTGTTCACATATTCGATATCAACACATTCGTTTCTGCGCAAGTCTTTAACATACCTAAAGCCAATTTCCTGTCCTTGTTGCTGTGTGTTCACTAACTCGATAGCATTCTATATACATATGTACATATTATATTGTACGCATTCTTCATGCCAATGAACTTCTCTGATAATGAAATTATAGTTATCACTGATGGCAGCTAACTTAGTTTTATGTGACGCCAAAAAAATATTTATTCAACCATACATACGCATACTTGTGGTCAGCTGATTAAATTAAAATGACATTTCGACCGGTTCAGGTTATTTTTCTTTTGTTTATTTAATGTTTATAATTTTTTTATAAACGTCTAGCACATTACATAACCAGCACCTCATAAATTTTCAAACTTTTTATAAAAATTAGAAAAAATTCAACAAACTTTAACAATTTCACACAAAAATTTTAAACTTTTTATTAAAAATTTTTAGAAAAGTTAGGTATGCCATTTTATAGCCCATTAAATTTAAGTAGGTTAAAGTGCAAACTTTGATGTGTGCATGTGTGATTTTTTCAAAATTTTTCCTCGCCCCGTTCTGGAGTTATTCGGAAAACTATTGTATCGATTTGTTTTTGTTTTTGTGCTGTAAAGTTTTTAAAAATGTATCAATCAAGCCCAAATTAATTTCATATTTATTTATTATTTATGTTTATCCATCAACCCTAAAAATTTAAAACAAATGAAACGCACGAAGTGTTAACCCTGCCCATTTTGGTATGGAATGCCCCATATACATATATGTAGGTGTGTACGTATGTACTGAAATTCATTGGCAATACATTGTCGTACGAGGGAGCGTTACTGATACGGATGAAGTTCTGGGTTGAAAAAATATTCGATACAGCTCAACATAATTTTTAATTTAGAAATGTTGGAATTAATGTCAATATTTACATGAATGTACACGTCGATGGCTGAGTGGAATATCGGCCTATCTCGGCAGCCAGTTCAAAAACACCTAATCTCAGAAAACTTGTCAAGACCTACTTGGGAATTTTTGTGAAGAACGCTCTATTACAGAATTTTATTGGAAAAGCCCTATCTCAGAATTCGGTTCAAAAACGCCCTATCTCAAACGATTATACATTGAAAATGTGCTGAGATAAGGCGTTTTTGAGCCGAACTCTGTGATAGAACGTTTTTCAATAAAATTCTAAAATAGGGCGTTTTCGAACTGGCTGCCGATATAGGTCGATCTTCCACTTAGCCATCGATATGTAGAATATAACTCTTGTAAAAAATTGGCCTCGAGCGGTTCACACGACAAAGAAAACCTCGTATGGTATCAAACGGCTCGGAGATGTCTTTCAAAATTCTGACGGAGCTAGTGGTATTGCTGAACATCATTTTACACAGCCGTATTAGTTTTTCGGGGATACCATATTTAGACATCGCGGCACAAAGGCAACTATTTTCGTTCTGTCGAAAGTGGCTTTAAAATTCACATACCTCTAAGTTGATGTCGATCATCTTCCCGTTGATCTTTTGCAAAATTTGCCTTATGTGGAATACCTCGACCAAACTGATATTCGAATCTCAGTAACCGATGATTTAGCATTCCTTAGTGCACGCCAAAAATCAAAAACGAGAGTGTCCAATTTTTCACAGTCATGAAGTCGTAAATAGATTTTATTTTAAATATCGAATTAACTACTTTTAGGGGATTCGAATGTTATACATTAAAACTAGGTCATTAAAAAAGGTGGTTCACAAGTGGTTTCTTTTTAAAAATTCAAAAAAAGAATTTAAAAAAAATAATAATTTTTCCGGTACATTATCGGTTTATTCGAAAGTGCAAATATAATAAGAGCCATTTGTCTAACGGCCGGCTCCAATGGACCCGAATGAGATTTTATTGTGTTTCCGTGTCAATGTTTGCTGCTTTTGAGCTCCGTAACTCCATTACTTTGCTTATTGTCAAGTAGTCTATTAGTAATGCTAGTTTTTTCGCGGTAAAAAAAGTATTAAGTACATTTTTTGAGCACTGTAACGATTAAAAACAAGATCATTAATTTATTTGCCACGTGCAAAGAAAAAAATTTTAAACTTTAAGAAATTATATTCAACAATATTATTGAGCTTGAAGTTGTATTTAAATGAAAAATGTTGCAGAAAAATTACTGTTGATTTTTTATAATATTCTTTGTCGAAGATGTTATGGTTTTCTTCCATATAAAAATGAATTGTGTATGATGGAAGCAAATGGGACAAAAAAAATTAAAATTATCAGTAATTTTTAGCCATCTTAAACTTGCACTTTATTCTACTTCAATTCAATGGGCTACAAAGCTACATACGCAAAATCTTTCTAAGAAATCTAATCTAATGTTGATTTTTTTTTTTAGTATTGCGTAAAGTTTTAAACTTGGATTTACACGGTTTCGGTTAAAGAATGAACTATATTTTTATAAAAAAAATAACCAAAATTAAATACCAAAAAATAGCATGTTAAAACTTGTCAATATATGGTGCGGCTATAATTTTTCGACTACTGTATACATTAGGGCTTTGCGATTATTACTCGATTACTCGAGCAAGATGGTTAGTCAGTTATTCGGTTAATCAATTACTCGAGTAATCAAGATTTTGATTATTTAAAATTATGATTAATCGAGTTACTTACAATATGATTACTCAAAAAGATGAATTTTTCTCGTGAAAAGAGTTTGCTTTTGAAAATGCTTATTTTCTTTTTTACAATCTGTATATGAAAAAAAATATTTCGTTTTAATTTTTGAAAACAGAAACGTTGGTTTCAAAGTATCAAGGAACTTCAACTACTTTACATATATGTAAAGAGTACTTTCAAATGTTGATTACTCATTTTACTCAGAATGTTGATTAATCATAAAGCATATTACTCAAGTATTTTTGTTTTTTGTTAATCAAAATCTTGATTACTCGAGTAACTGATCTTTTGAGTAATCATAATTTCCAATTAATTGGGTTATTTACTTTATGATCAATTAAAATTTTGAAGAATCAATTAATCGCACAGCCCTAGTATACATATATACGTATGCAAACATATCTTATATTCATAGTTTTTTCTTCAAGCAACATTCGCTTTCACACGCCATTTAACTTCTGCAATAATCTGCAAACTGCTGTACATCCAAAAAAATTAATGACGAAATCATTTAAGTTGGCCGGTACTTTTAGATAAAGACCAATTGCGGATCTGGCAAGCTACCAAAAACCTCGACTGTTACCTCTGAGCTTAGTACTTTTTTCCGCCACAGGAAACGAGTGTCTCACCCGACGTCTAACTTCGAAGGCTATCTCATGTCCTGCATCCTGCCAACCGTGTCGCATAGAAGCCAAGCGTGTGTTTTCGGTAGCTAGCCGTAGGGGAGGTGCTGTCATGAACCACTGCCAGATTAATACACAAGAGTACATATGTATGTTAATATGTTGTACATATGTTGTACATATGTATGTACATTAGAGTGGCCCAAAAAAATGTTTCCCCAGATAGGGTATGGGGCACCTTCCAAAATGTTTCCTCTTGCCGAAAGAGGTGCTGGTACCAAACCTTACGTTTCTGAGCTTCCATTAAGAAGATGCTCATATTTTACTCAAGAAGTATTGTGTATATATATTAATCAAACAATTGGTTAAGTAACCTAAGAACATTTCAAATTTAAATTCTCTACTAAAATATCACAAGCTTCAGTTGTCATGGCAACAGTAGCTTTTTATAAAAATCACCCATATTTTTGCCAGTTTCACAGAGATCCAGTAGCGCATTCAGTAGAAAACTGAAAGTTGGTACAGATATTACAAATATCAAAAGAAAAAAAACTATGGGGGTGCCCCGTTTTCTAGGATGACATTGTTTTTTTGCATACAAAAATTGGACCACTCTAATGTACATACAAAAAATATAAAACATAGATTCTTATATCCAAGTATGTGACTCTGACTAATGCAACTCACACGAAAAGTAATTCGCACAGTTCACGCCTCGACCATTCTACTTGTTGGTCGGCTAACTCGTGTTGATTTGTTGAAATCACATTAAGCCAACCAACCATAGGTACAAATGCGCACACAATCTCTTGCACTGCCCGAATCGTCAATAAAAACAAATAAAACATTAAGGCCGTATGTTGACATTTAGTTGACACAGGGCCAAGAAAACGAATATTTGTCTGGGCATTGTATGTACATTTGCAAAATTAATTGTACTATAAAATTTTCATTGTTCATTTTATGTCGCTTGCAATTGTACATACATACCTTTCTTAATTTTAAATATTGCATTTTAATGTTTACGTTTTTTTTTCTTTTTACTTTTCTCATTTCAGTACGGTCAGCGTGTACCAACTGCAGCATCGCCAAGTAATACAAATTCAAGCAGCTCATCCAATACCGGCTCACAGAGCGGAACTTTAAGTACTAGTCTGAGTAATACCAATACAAATACAACAATGGGTCCTAGTAACGGTACACAGCAACAAGGGGAACAATTGTCGAAAACAAATTTGTATATTAGAGGATTGCAACAAGGCACAACCGATAAGGATTTAGTAACCATGTGTGCACAGTGAGTATAAATCGCAATGTTTCAAAGGCAATTTTATTTTTTATGCACATAAAATCGTAAATAGAAACCGAATAGTTATTTGAAATGTCGTTTGCTCATTAAATTTTACTAGCTGGATTTCTAGTCTACTCTGGTCATTAGTTATGACCGTGGCAAAGTCCCCAAAAAAATTCAAAAATTGTTATTTTACATGCATATTGTATGTTGGTAAATATATGTACATAAGTATGGCCTTTTTGTAGAGAACGTCATGAAGATCGCAATGATTATCAATAAAAAAATTGTATAGCTCATTTTTTGGTCCTGGTATATAAAAAAAGTTATCATATATTCGACCTTTGATTTGATTAGATCTTAACAAAGCTTCTTGCCAGTTTGAGGAAGGGTTTTGGGCAGGAACCGACCGTAGCTATTATTTTAATTTTTTTTAGTACTAAGATTTTTATTTGGAAGATCTGTTTTTTAGTTACATCATGGCAAATCGATATTTTTTGGTTTTTAGTTTCTTGACCGATTATGATTGTTATTTCTTCGGACAAATTTTATCGCTATGATTTTGATTTCTTCGATCGAAACTAATCACTTTTTTATTTTTCATATTAAAGACTATGTTTTTCGACCGCTTTAAAGCTTTAAATCTGGAAATAACGGTTGTTTGATCGAACAACTAAAAATCTATTACTCTTGATCGAAAAAGTAAAGATCAGAAATTAAGAGTTAAATTTGATAGCAAAAATACAAATCCAATTTTTATGATTAAATTATAAATTTTATTACAAAGATCGATGAGCACCGGTCTAATATTGAAGTGTATATACATATATAAAGTGGCTCAGACAAGCGTACAAATGGTGATTTTTTTTTAATATTCATAATGTTTTTTTGTCAATATAACCAAACCTTTATAAATAATTTGCTAAAATTTCTATAAAGTTGCATACGCAGAAATTTTCTTAAAATTCAGTTTGAAAAGTTCGAAGTTTTGATGTAAATTCGCAGATGTTTCCTAAATTTTGTATTGAGTTTGATATTTTTATTTAATAAGTAATATTTCTATAAAAACTTTGCAAGAAAAATTTTAACTAGAAAAACATTGTGAATATTTAAATACAAAATCGCTATGTGAACGCTTGTTTAAGTCATTGTATATGTATGTATGTGTTTGTTTCTCCACTGCCTGTATATTGCATTTCTATGGCGTAAGCTTCAACCTGAAATACAGAGCTATCTTTCCCTATGCCGGTAAAGTGGACATTTCTGGGTTGTAAACCATAATTCCCTGTTCCGACGCCTTGATCGGATTTGTAGCCGCCGATGTGCAAGATGTGACTGTTCATCTGAAGTTGAGGTCATTCCTCTTTAAAATCTTGCAACTGCTGCCTCCTGTGCACTCATCCCTAGGGGGGAGAGAGCTCATTGATACCAGCCTAGCCAAGCAGTGATCCGTGTTATCAGGGATAAATTGAAAGCTCTACATATGTATACTAGAGCGTACAACTCGTGACCCATTTAAAACCCTAGTATTCCTAGGTCTGACCGCAGCAGCTTTACCCATGGTGGCGACTGACGCTATATTAAGCATTAGGGAGTGGTTCTAAGTGACTCGCTGGAAACGCACCAGCTTTCTGTCGAAGATCATGTAAAGTAGTTTAGCTAAATAGGTGGGGTTCGGTAGAAATCTGGTAAGGTCCCTCAAAGCCGATAAGTCTTCGTGTATGAAGGCTTTCTATGTCGACTTCACCATCGTTGTCTTCGTGAATACACCCTGGGTTGTTGTACCTACGCTTATTGAGCTGCCGACAAGCAATCACAAGGAGTCCTGTTTCTAATAAGCAGATAAATCCACCTCTCCCGGGTTTTGAGCACAAACGAGAAAGAGGGATAAAACATATTACAAGAAAGAGGGATAAAACATATTAAAAGCTCTTGTGTAATTCCTGTGAGGGAAATGTAGTTGAACCTTTGCTCTCTCACCTCGTCCCTTTTGGTAAACTCTGGAATGAGAAAAATATTTATATAATTACAAATATTTGACCTTAATACAAAAAAAATAAAGCGTTGTACAGAAAACTATTGGTAGTATTTATTTTGCTCGTTCTTTGAAGTGCATAAAGAATAGAACGATTCCCTGAAATTAAAGTTGTTTGTTTGCAAATTTAAAAAAAATCCTTTTTCTTCTCCTTTTCAGATATGGAACAATTATATCCACCAAGGCTATTTTAGATAAAACAACAAACAAATGTAAAGGTATTTTTTTTCTTCACCATTTCTCATCTTTATTATTTAGTACGTGTGTTTTTGTTGTAAGAATCTGAATTTGTTAAGTTCAAGTACAATATACAAATCGAACAAGATGGCATATATTGGTTAAATCTTAAATTTAAATGAAATTTAAAGAATATTAAATTGGTCTAAACAAGACAATTTGCAACTTGTAGCTCGTTTGTAAAGCAATTTGATTTGCGTTTTTTGTTGAAATCTGAATATTTTTGTTTTTTTCATACAACTTTTGACATATGTACATAATTAAAAAATAATAATACGAATAAGTAATGAAACCTAGCTTCTTTAACTCTGTGTATATAAGTACACAATTTTATATTTAAAAGGCAACGGAAAATTAAAAAAAATAAAATTTCGCATCCCTGAACTTTATATTTCAGATATACATACATATGTCGTTGGTGATACTGCAAAACGTTCTACGTCAATTATTGCCCTCGGTGCTTAAATGATCTTTTCAGTTGTATCTGAACGCTGCTGTTAATCGTTCCTCTTTGTCAACCGAAGGTAGAAAGTTTTTTCTTTGGTTTACGGGAGTACAACGATTCCCAGAAGTATTTCAATACGGTTAACAGACCATCTAAGCGCCAAGGGTAATAATTGACATATCCAGAACGTTTTACAGTATCACCGACGATATGTATTTTCACATACTCATTTATCGAAAATAACAATAATAATAATAATAATTTTTAACTCTTAACCAAACAAATATGTGCCGATTCTGTATTTTGTATCTTAACTTGTTTTTTAGATTTTCAACCAGATCACTCAATTTTATTATTGCATTTTATTAATTTTTAAAAAAATATTGCTAATCTCTTTTGTTTTTTTTTCTTTTACCTCTTCGAAAATTTTGTTTTTGTTTTTCTCTGATCCATTTCTAAAACTTTGTTTCGGTTTAACTTTAATCCTTTCGATACATTCATCAATGTTAAAAATTAAAAACAAAAAAAAACATTATTTATTTCCATTTCGAAATTAAATTTTATTTTATTCGTTAAAAATAATTTGTTTGAACAAAATACACGCTAATCTCACGTGGCGAAAACAAAAACAAAATATTCTTTCTTTTCAGGCTACGGCTTTGTCGATTTCGAGTTGCCAGCATACGCCGAGGGCGCCGTCAAGGGACTACAAGCAAAGGGCGTTCAAGCTCAGATGGCCAAAGTGGGTATCTGGGTGCTTCATAGGCCGGCCATTGTACGTTTGTTTGCATGCAAGTAATACTCACCCCCCACCCCCACTTCTATATAGTTGGTCTATATATTTTATCTAAATTTTTTTTATATATAATTTTTTTTTATTTTTGTTGGTTTTGTTCTTGATAATTTTGTGTACAGTCTCATTTCGATGATTTTCTTAAATTTGTTGTGGTTGGTTTTTAACAAGAGAAAAACAGCAATAAGTCTTGTCTTTTTTTGTTTTTTTTCTGTGTTTTTTTCTATGTTTTTTTCACAATTTCTCGTAAACAGGCTAGGCTTAACATTGTTGCTGCTACTTAAATGCAACGCTTAAAAATGAACTGCTTACAACCGCAAGTTTGCTATCTTTGCTGGCACGCTTGAATTAAGCTATAAAATTTATCACATTAAATACTGCATTGCTACACAGTAAGGATAACGACCTCTAGAGGGTGTGTGTGTGTGTGTGCTTCGTCTCACCTACTGTTTTTATGAGTAGCTCAGCATAATAATGACTTGACAATTATCAGCGCGTACACTGCTCCAACCAGATATTTGTTAGGACCAATACCCAACTAGTCCTTACTACTGACTACTTACTTTAATTACATACATGCGTATCTACAATTTGTCAAAAATTTTCCGAAACAAGTTTGTGGTAATTTGTGTCGTAATGGAAAGTGACACTTAAGATGGCACAACGCCAAAACCGGTTTCCGTTTTACGGAATTCACTCCCTTGGGACAGTTGGATATTTTTGCAAATGAAGACCTTGAGACATCAAAGTTGTCTCGGTTGTCCCAAAGGTCATTTGCTACGACTGAGGTGTACTCGTCTACTTTCCTCAGTAAATAGATAACAAAACGGTGGTGGTAGTGAGTTGACCGCCTCGTTAATCTGCATTTCCGAATCGTATCTAGTCATTGCATTGGCTATTTCGTTCCCTTCGAAATTGCCATGAGCCCCGCAGAGAGAGAGACGATGACGTGATTTGGTGATGTTGGCGATGCGCAAGAATTGCGAAAAATTTTTGACTTTAGACTGTCAACGAATATACTGATTTTCCTTTATAAAGTCAAATTTTCTATAGAATCCCACGCTAATTTATTTTCCTTCCTTTGAGCTGGTAAGCCTATCATTTCCCGTACCTAGTCCAGCGTCTTATTCATCCCTAGTTGGATATCGTATAGGAATGCCTAAGCGGAAGTCCTACAAAACCGGCATTAAATCTGTCTTGGTCCAGCCAGGCAAACAGAACTGAGGGATCTTTCTTCTCCTTGAGAGCAAGACAATTTCCGTTTTGTTAACTTTTAGCCCTTTTTCGCCAATCAAAGAAAAAATGCCCAGGGCTGATTCCATTAGTCCACAAGAAGAATTTTCATAACTAATATGATCCAAGACTCGAAAGTAGAGTACAAAAATACCTTCCCACAATTCTTCGAAAGAAATCATTTCTCACATTACCTTATCTGGTATATCTTCTTTTGAAAGAATATTAAGGCCAATTTATGGTCGAAGGATGACTGACTCTGCACTGTAAATAGGTGGGTCTAAAATGGACAAGCGATTAGGAACTGCTACATATTATTTAGCGTCAGTGGCAACGAGCAGTCACACTAAGAGATGAGCTGATTTCACAAGCAGTAAAACGAAAGCACTTCCTGTACACGATCCAGTGGACAAGAAAGATGTAGACTAAAATGCAACACTGCAGGCTTTCAAGACAGATGTGGGGAGCTTACAGCACAGCAACCTTCCAAAGTTTAGTTTATCTCTGATCAGGATAGCGCTATGCTACTGGTTGGTTTACTATTTACTTAGCAGGACAATTATTGTTAACATCACATGCCTTTAAGTTAGGTCTAACCCATGGTAAGATGTGCATGAGAGCATGAGATGCGGAAGGAATGAGAAGACTGTGGAGTTCATCTTTTCTGAGCATCCAACTCTCGGTAGGCTGATGCGCTGTCTCCTGGATGTAGGTTTTCTACCGCATCTGGAAGCAACCGAGAAAAAAGTGCGATAAAAACTGGTTTTATTTTGCCAAGAAATCTACTTTCTATTCCAAAACAGCATTTGATCCCAGGGATCGTGTTTTTTTTTGTGACGCTATAAACCTTATCAACACAGTGGCTAGCCAGTCTCACCATCCATCGAAAATATATTTAAATGTCTTCTTCTTCTTCCTATTCTTTCTTTGTGTAATTACATATCGTCACCTGAGTGGAAAATCCACCTATCTCGGCAGCCAGTTCGAAAGCGCCCTATCTCAGCTGAAAATACATTGATAGCGCTTTTGAATCGGTAGCTGAGGTAGGGCGTTTTTCAAACAAATTCTGAAATAGGGCATTCTTGAAAAGTTTTCTGAGATAGGGCGTTTTCGAACTAGCTGCCGAGATAGGTCGATCTTCCACTCAGGCACCGATTTTGCTATTCGAATTTTAAAAATCAAACTTTTTTGTATTGCTTGTACTGAACTTTCAGCACTGAGTAGGTAATCTTGTAACAGCATACAAGTTCTGGAGTGACAGTCCTCGGCCTGATATAAATCTGGGTCGTTCCGGTTACATCGACCCGACTGTCGTGGGAACGACGAAAAACTTATTTTGAAGTGCCGTGAGCCACGGTGGATTTTATATACTAATCGAAATTTTTTCAATGAAATGCGGAACTTCATCGACATAATACAGACCCCAGAGCCTATTCATGCTCACATTCATATGGCACTTACCGTTCATTGTTCTAATTATCGCCGTTTAGGCCAAATAAAAGTAATGGAAAGTTGTCATGCGCTGCCTCGTTATATAACTAAACTACAGAGTAGTTATGGCACCCACATAATTGCCTTTAGATGATTTAATGTATGTAATGTGTGATGCTGCAGTTTGTTTCCTTTTGGCTGCATTGAAGTTTACCATTGCTTTCTTTAAAGCAAAATATTGTGCATATGTACATATGTATGTACGTATATTTTTATACCTTTCATTAACATGAAATGGTATGTTTGTAAGTAACAGAAGAAGTTGAGATATACCCATCAAAAACTATACCAAAATGATAAGATTGTCGAGCTGAGTCGATTTACAAAGATCGGATTAGGTTAGGAGGGCGTGTGTGGAATATTCCATACTTTCACTCGTTAACAGAATTGTCCATTGTGAGTGCCGCTTTTTCGGCGAGTGTCAGGAGGAGAATCGTACCCATAATCGTGAGAGTAGCTTCAAGTCATTATTTTAATGAACAGTTCCACCTCCGCTATCTCGCTCTCGACTATTAAAGAAGCGTGAGCCCAAGTGCTTGAGGCGCTTCATCTGTAGACCTGGACATTGACACAGACAGTGATCAATTGACTCTCCATCGTCCTCATCGTGGCAGCTTCTGCTGAGATTACTTGTTGGTATTCGCCACCGTTGAAGCATTGGTGCTATAGCACAGTGTCCTATGATAACGCCGGTAAGGACTCTTACTGCAGATCTATTAAGTTGCAGTATGTTCCTCGCCTTTTTCCTACTAAGCCGCGGCCATAATAATCTGGTGATCTCAAAGTCTTCCCGTTTGTTCTACAAGTTATTAGTCGCGGCCACGGTTTATTCATCAATTTTCCTAACGTGATCACTAAACAGTGGTAGTACGGCGCTATCCGCTTCTACTGTTAGCATCTCTTAGCCACAGCTGGTCATCTCAATATTGCTATGTTCGTGGACTCATCTTCTCTTCAGTTCTGCTTGACTGTCGTCAAAGATAGTGGCTTTGTCTTCTGGAACTCTACTGCTAAGTAAAAGACTAGCCGTCCTCTAGTAATATTGAAAAAATGCAGCGATTACAGGTGAAATATTATGTTTTGCCCTTCCTGAGATGCGCTACTCACTGCCCCCGATATGCCAAGGCGTGTGAGTCTTTGCCCTTTCCTTTTGTTTTCCAGTTATTCCATTTGTCTAGAGCCCTTCTCCATACCAAGAGCCCGTGGGTTGCAATTGGCCGGATGATTGTGGTGTCCTTATTGCTTTCCAAATGACCCTTTGTGCGTGTAATACGCTGCTAGAAATTTCTTGGCTCTCTCCTCTAAATGCTTTTTCCACTTAAACTTACAGTCCAAAATAATCCCGAGGTATTTTGCTTCTGGGGAGAGTTTCAAAGTAGTTTCCCCCAATTTCCGCGGAGAAAAAGTGGGTACTTTTGTTTTCCTTGTAAACATTACCAGTTCTGTCTGGGAGGGATTAACTGCGAATCCATTCTGGTGGGCCTACTTAGAGATATCACCTAGTGGACTATACATGAGTTCATTTATCGTTTACAGGAATTTGGCAGTGATAAGTATCACTAAGTAGTCGGCATAGGCGAAACCCTTATTATCCTTGTTTTAAAAATCTCCAGAATTTCGTTCGCCAACAGGAGCCAGAGGAGAGGGGATAGTACACCCCCTTCGGGCGTACTCCTGGTAGTTTTCCTTCTCACAGCATGGAGTCAATCCATGCCACCATAAGGCGCTGTATTCCGTGCTCAGAGAGTGCCATGCTTATCGCCTCCGTTCGGGTATTATTGATCGGGTTACTTTATCCAATAGCTCCCGCACAACTGATTATTCAGATATGAAGTTTGAAACGGCAGACCTAGCTCAGAACCAGATGATGCTGCAATATGAAAGAGGAATTAATCTGCTAGGTGGCGCAGGAGTAGAGATATTTGGAAAATTCGTCAGATTTATTTCATATTTAAAATGGAAAGAAATACCTCCGCTAAAACTTTAACGGTTGTGTGGTACGGAGGACGGCTTCTCGTTTTTCTATTAACCACTAATTAAGGTTTGTCTTCAAATTGTTTTATTTACTTCTTACTAATTAATAACATAAAGTCTACTAAGAAAATTGTCAAGGTCTTTGCTCTATAAGCGAAATCTCCCATACCATTGATTTTTCAGATATGTACATACATACATATAACTTTTTGCGATATATCTCCTTTATGTAGGCAGTTAAAACTTTGGAATTTTGTGACCCATTTACTTATCGATCATACTTA